ATAAGAAATGTAGAGAAAGTTATGCATCAGACGCGAATTTTTGAATAAATTTCGAATAAGTAAAGGAGCTATTGAAAAAGATTAATTCATATTAGACAGTAGTGGACGATTAGAGAAGTCAATCGGGAAACTGTTCCACATTAAGGAGAAATGGAAAACGCGAAAGCCACATCAATTCAATGGATTATTCGATATCTTACAGATATTCAATACGAAGAGAAATCGTTATCATTCCAAAGGAAAATAGTACAGACGAGAATATATAGCCATTCAATATAATATCGATATTTTCATTTACAGAGAAATCTATTTTTTCAAGTTCCATTTCTCCTTATGAGTGGAGATATGGATCAACATTTGGACCTCCAATTTTTTCGACTTCTATCGAAAAAGGATATCGCCTTGACTTTGTGTGGGTAAAGGATTTAGCCTTGAAACGGACCAGTTTCTCTCTATTGCGGGATATGGTCCACCCCTCATATTAGAACGTATAGGTGTTGGTATTACATTAACGTTAGTCTGAAACTCACATCGTTATCCGCGCCCACCCACACTCACACCCTTAATTATGTTTTATTAATTTTTCTTGTTTGTTTTTTTATAGAACGTGGCACTCGTATTGTCTGTACTGCTTATACAGATTTGAAACTTGTTTTACAAATGCCACGTGGTAATCTTGAAACAATATATCCTCGACCATTATTATTAACTTATATATGTTCTGAATTACTTAATAGTAAAACATTAAATTATAAACGTGCATTTGAATTAATGCGTAAAAATCGTTTAAATTTAAATTTTCTTTATGATTATAAACCAAAACAATTTATTGATTATATACCATCATTTGTATCGAATGCACGTAATGATGATGATATATGTTTATTTCTCAGTGAAATTGATAATGAAAAAAATACACGTGAAGAATATATGAAATATATATTAAAACAAGATGAAAATTCTATAACGGATAATCAAATTTGGCATCCAAAAGCTAATTTAATTTGTGAAAAATTTCGTGCATATCTTGAATCAACACCAAATTCAGCTTCTGACCATATGAATTCAATATTAACAACATATATTAAACAATCACCACCCAATATGGAAGGTGCATTAACATATTTAAATCAACATCCAAAATTATTTGATAATGCTATACGTTATTTAACATATTTTATTGATATTGATCGTTTATATGATATTGCATTAGGTACATATAATTTTGAACTTGTTTTAATGATAAGTGAAAAAACACAAAAAGATCCAAAAGAATATTTACCTGAATTAAATCAATTACGTTTAATAACAAGTCATAATTGGAGAAAATTTAAAATTGATTGTCGTTTAAAACGTTTTAAAAAAGCAATTGAAAATGGTTGTGATTATTTTATTGAATTATTATTAAATAAGAATACGAATGAAATCGATAGTAAATTTCATGAATTTATTAATATATTAGAAAATAATCGTTTATATAAATTAGCAGTTAAGAAATTTTTATCAAATTCACAAATTCAACCAACAATGAATTATATTAATGAAATTATTAAATTATATGGAGATTATTTAATGACAAAAAAATATTATATTGAAGCAGCACTTATTTATGAACGAGGAAAATTATATGAACAAGCAAGTCAAGCTTATCGACAAGGAAAAGATGTGCAAAATTCATTGAAATTATTACCTGATATTTCTAAACAGATCAAACAAGTAAGTTTCAATTGTTACCACAAGAACTTTTCAGATTAAAAGAGTGTACAAATAGAAAGGAATGATCATAATATCTGCTAGGACCTAACAGCACTGATAATACGTTAATAAACTCATATCTAGAGGTGTAAGCCATGCGGCCGAGTAGCCGCCGCTGAGGCACTTTAGTTACAGCCGCCGCACCGCCGATTACCCTATCGGCTTACACGTCTACTTATAAGAATTGATTATTTTCTAATAAGATCTAGATACTTTCATCTTTTGAGAGAGAAGCAAAACTATTTCATAACATATCGTATTAATTGATATCATAGCACACTAAAAGTAAAACTCAATCTTTAGACGAGCAATTTATCTTATGTACCAGATTATATTTCTCTTTGATTGTATTAAGCTAAGCAAGAATACAAGAACTTTTATTCAAATGCGTCTAATATAGTCTTATTCTAGACTCACGATTTCAAATAGCTTTAATTTAACACTAATCACTAAAATGACGCCATATGCATTCTAAGTAAATCATTCATAAAGTATTAAGTTAAGTGTGCTTCATTAAAGCTCAATGCAAAATTCTATATAACACTAAATTATTCAAGTTATGAAATGATCTGAGATTTTCTTTTCTCTTCATCAATAGGAAATTTGAGAATCTCAATATAGTATCGTTTTCTTCGCAGTTCGTAATTATTGAATCATACACTATGTATGTACCTTTTCAAACGAGATATTTGTTCTCTAAAAACCTATTATATAAATATATGTATCTATTATTTCTAGCCGATCACTCAAACTGAACAATATCGTTCTTTAGCTGAACAATTTCGTAATGATTCATTATATATTGAATCCGGTCAAATTTATGAAAATTATCTTAATGATTATGAAGAAGCTCTTCTCTCTTATTTACAAGGTCATGAATGGTCTCATGTTATTCGTTTGTTTTCTACATCATTACATGATCGTCATGATTTATATGAACATGAATTTCTTTCAGCATTCAATACTTTCTATGATGATTTACAACGACAAATTCGTAATGATTTTGAAAAATTTCAAACACAAACAAAACGTCTTACAATTCTTCGAACAAATCTATTTCAACATATTAAAGAAATACTTGATTCAGGTCGTGATTATGATATCGATGAAAATGATGATCAATCTGATAACGATGATCAAAATATAAATGATGATCGACGTACATTAGCTACACGTACTGCTGCTGATGATACTGGTTCAATACGTACACGTTTAACAAAAAAATCTGGTTCAGTATCATCAAGTAAAAAATCTCAACGACGTGCTGCACAACAACTAGAAAAATTAGTTCAATTAAAAGAAGGTTCAAAACATGAAGATCTTGCATTAATTCGTGAATTATGGTTATTAATAACAAAATTTGATAAATTAAATTATGATATTCGACATGTTAATAAAATTTGTTATCAAATAAGTACATATCAAAATTCATTGGAATATGAATTAAAAGGTGAATTATTACAAAATAAATATAGTGAATGTATGAGTATAATTGAAAAACAATTAATAATCATATGGTTAAGCACTCCTGAACATCAACATCATCAACAACAACAAGAGAATGTGCAAATTTTGATAATAAATAAGAAAATTCGAGAGAAATTAAAGAAAGAACTTGATTTAATTTCTAATCAATATCGTGTTTCACCTATTTTAAATTCGAAAACTTCCCAATGGAAACTTGTTCTTTTTGATACAGATGTTTCTATTTAAAATAACAGTGTTAAATGTTTTTTTTCCGGTTCTTGTTTCATTTCTTTTCTTTTTTTGTTTTCTAGATTTTTAATAAAAGAAAAAAAT